ATATATATATATATATATATATATATATATATATATATATATATATAAACTATCTTACCTTTGTTTTAAAATGAGTAAGTTGGGAAAGACTATGAGTTTAGAAAAATCCTTTAGTTTTGAGATTTTATTTTCCACCCCGCCCCCTCTGTAACAGAAGAACGCTCAGCAACGTTTCATTGTCCCTGTGGGGCAGCACTGCCCCCTATCGACACGCCACGGTACTTTCTGCCTCACCTCGTGTTTGTCACCGTGCATTATGACCACGTGCATTATGACCGCGTGCACTATGACCACGTGCACTATGACCACGTGCACTATGACCGCGTGCACTATGACCGCGTGCACTATGACCACGTGCATTATGACCGCGTGCACTATGACCGCGTGCATTATGACCGCGTGCACTATGACCGCGTGCATTATGACCGCGTACACTATGACCACGTGCACTATGACCACGTGCACTATGACGCATGCACTATGACCACGTGCACTATGACCGCGTGCATTATGACCGCGTACACTATGACCACGTGCACTATGACCACGTGCACTATGACGCATGCACTATGACCGCGTGCACTATGACCGCGTGCACTATGACCACGTGCACTATGACCACGTGCACTATGACCACGTGCACTATGACGCATGCATTATGACCGCGTGCACTATGACCGTGTGCATTATGACCGCGTGCACTATGACCGCGTGCACTATGACCGCGTGCACTATGACCGCGTCCACTATGACCACGTGCACTATGACCTCGTGCACTATGACCGCGTGCACTATGACCGCGTGCACTATGACCGCGTGCACTATGACCGCGTGCACTATGACCACGTGCACTATGACCTCGTGCACTATGACCGCGTGCACTATGACCGCGTGCACTATGACCGCGTGCACTATGACCGCGTGCACTATGACCACATGCACTATGACCGATTAAAGAAGACACTTGTCTCACACATTAGTTCAATATATTAGACTAGAACATCAGCATGTGCAGCACATGTGTAATCAAACATGTGTATTGGTGATATAAAGGGAGACAGCAATGGGCACCAACCACCTACTTCATATATTGTATGAGACACAGCGCCCCCAGAGGTGAACCAGAGCACTACACTGTCTCACCTGCATTGTTTGACCAGACTTTGAGTAAATTCTGCGATTTTGACCATTGAAGTGTTGAAATAATTGAGAAAACAGTTTGATCAAACTCTTTTACAGAACAGTCCGGTGGTCAAATGTATTTTCTCTCATCACTGTCAGTATTTTAGTTGAGGACAGGTGAGACACTGCCTCTCCTGACTGCACGTCTCTGGTCTGGTGAGGCCCAGAAGTTACAAACTTTTACCAGCCTTCAATGAATCTGCGAGAAAGTCTCTGTCACATGCACAGGCAGCTGATCCGTGCGCTCAGTGCACAGATTGGTCTGCAGCAGGTGATTTGTGCACGTGTTTGACAATTTGTGCAAAGTATTCCTACATGTGCAAATTAAAATGTGTGCATTTAAACAAACTGTACATGCACTTGTAAAACTTGTGTGGTTACTTTGGAGACTGGTTTGTCTCATGACTCTTCTCCAAACCCCGAGTCATCCAACAACTAACTTTAAGCCTCAAGTTACTGGATGCTAAACTTTTTGATGAGTGCTGAAACACATGCAAACTGAAACATTTCCCTCGAGTTCAATAACGTCATTAGATTCTGCACTTGACCACAGGAACAGAAAGAACGTCCTGGACAATGTCTCCATCTTAAAGAACCCTCTTGTGCATCTTCTAGACAAGGCAGAGGACTGAAGGGCCTCAGCGCCACGCTCAGAGCCATGTCCTCAGACAACAGCAGAGTTCTTCTCACACCACGCTTGTCCAGACGGATGGCTGCGGTCACGTCCACGACCTCCTCTCCCGGGGAGGCACGGAGCTCCTCTGCACCTCCTTACAAAGAAGCTCTGCCTCTGATGGGCAGGAAAAATGAGGAGGTGGACAGGGATGGCCTTCAGGCAGTATGTGAGCAGAGTGCCCCCACCTGCACCCCCCCCACCTGTTCACCCAGTATCAGTGCCTCGTCATCTTCGTCATCTTCGTCATCACCGGCTCTGGAGCCTCTGGGTGAGCTGCGCAAGGAACCCATGAACATCTACAACCTCAGTGCCATCATTAGAGACCAGGTAGATTCCATCAGCCATGCTGGGACGGGGTCTGGTGTGCGCTCCTAAACAACCTGCACCTTCTTTATGGATTTTATAACTACTTTTATTTTATTTCCTTTCAGCCGTTTTATAGTTTCATCTCCATGTTCTTAATTTCATAATTTCTTGTATACGTTGTTCAAAAACAGTGTTTATATTAAATGTCTTCCTCCTTCTGATGATGAAGATTAGTAGGTAACGATAAAATATATATCAAAATTCTTTATCGTTCCCTTTGAGGAAATGTGTTTTTGTTAAAACATTAACTTTCTGGAAATAAACAACGATCTAAAAAAGTTAAGTCAGGTCCTCTGGACGAGTTCAAAAAACAAAACTGTGGAAACATTTCGTCTCTCATCCTGAGGACTTCCTCAGTCTGAGGTGCTGTATTCAGCTCAGTCTCTTAAATAGCACCTTCTCAGAGTGGATCAACCAGTTTGCTGCTGACAACCAGAACCAGCTGATCACATGATCAAGAAGGACCATCAGCCTGGCTCACATCCTGGACAGAGAGGAACGATGGTTTGAGAGAGGAGTAAAGGAGGCCATCTTTGTGAAAAGAAACCGTCCATCATTAAACAGGGGCGGAGCCTCCAGGTTCAACTGTCCCCCTCTTACAATGCTGTGATTGCTAGTATCACTCAGCCCTCTGTGAACAGTAAACAGCCATCAGGTGCTAATGATCCATTGTTAGGCTGATGGTCCTTCTTGACCATGTGAGCAGCTGGTTCTGGTTGTCAGCAGCAAACTGGTTGATCCACTCTGAGACGGTGCTATTTAAGAGACTGAGCTGAATACAGCACCTAAGACTGAAGAAGTCTCTTGGATGAGAGACGAAACATTTCTACAACATTTTTTGTTTTGTTTTTTGGACCTGTCCAGAGGACCAGACTAAGTTTTTTATTTTTTTTTCTACCTAGATTATTGAGCAGCATCAGGATGTTGATCTTCTGTCTTCCTTTTGTTGGTATCAACCTCCTAACTCGTTGCTCTCATGCGTTTTAGGTAAAGCACCTCCAGCGTGCTGTAGACCGGTCCTTCCAGCTCTCCAGACAGAGAGCTGCAGCCAGGGAACTGGCCCCTCTTCTGGAAAAAGATAAGGAGAGCTGCATGGAAGAGATCCTTAAGCTCAAGTCCTTACTCAGCTCCAAGAGGGAGCAAATATTGACCCTTCGACTGGTCCTCAAGGCCAACAAACAGGTGAGAAGATAGACATGCACTTGTCATGAGTCTAGGGCTGAACAGTCCTGACCAGTCAACTATGAAAAGGGTTACATCATGCAGACAATGTTGCAGTCAGGACTTGATCTGAGCTGGATCCTGCCAGAACAGGATCCAGGACTCTTATTTTGACAGGGTGCATTCTGGTAACTGTTTGCTTGACTGCCTTGAACAAATAAAGTCTATATTGAACATATAATGTGAAAATTGCATAAACACTCATTTTAAACACAACAAGCACAATATCACATCAGAGCTGCTCCTTCAAGTAAACATTTCTTCTCCTACCCTTAAAAAAACTCCACCCCTAAAAGTTCAGTCAGGGGCAATTTAATTAAACACACAATAAAATTTAACAGCACAACTAAATTACAACCCCTCCATGGGCTGCCACCTTATCGTGGTGGAGGGGTTTGAGTGTCCCAATGACCCTAGGAGCTATGCTGTCAGGGGCTTTACACCCCTAATAGGGTCACCCATGGCAGACAGGTCCTAGGTGAGGGACCAGACAAAGTGCAGCCCAAAAACCCCCTTTGATGAGAAAGATAAACGGACCTAATGTTCCCTTGCCCGGACGTGGGTCACCGGGGCCCCACTCTGGAGCCAGGCCTGGAGGTGGGGCACGCAGGCGAGCGCCTGGTGGCCGGGCTTTTACCCATGGAGCTCGGCCAGGCACAGCCTGAAGAGGAGACGTGGGTCCCCCTTCCCATGGGCTCACCACCTGTGGGAGGGGCCAAAGGGGTTGGGTGCAATGTGGGATGGGTGGTGACCAAGGGCGGGGACCCTGGCGGTCTGATCCTTGGCAACAGAAGCTGGCTATTGGGACGTGGAATGTCAACTCACTGGTGGGGAAGGAGCCTGAGCTGGTGTGTGAGGTTGAGAGGTTCCGGCTAGAAATAGTCGGACTCACCTCTACGCATGGCTCGGGCTCTGGAACCAGTTTCCTTGAGAGGGGCTGGATACTCTTCCACTCTGGAGTTGCCCCTGGTGAGAGGCGCCGAGCAGGAGTGGGCATACTTATTGCCCCCCAACTTGGTGCCTGTGTTTTGGGGTTCGCCCCGGTAAATGAGAGGGTGGCCTCCCTCCGCCTACGTGTGGGGGGACGGGTTCTGACTGTCGTTTGTGCTTATGCACCAAACGGCAGTTCAGATTATCCACCCTTTCTGGAGTCCTTGGAGGGGGTACTGGAAAGTGCATCTCCTGGGGACTCCCTTGTTCTGCTGGGGGACTTCAATGCTCATGTGGGCAATGACAGTGAGACCTGGAGGGGTGTGGTTGGGAGGAACGGCCCCCCTGATCTGAACCTGAGTGGTGTTCTGTTGTTGGACTTCTGTGCTCGTCATGGATTGTCTATAACGAACACCATGTTCAAGCATAAGGGTGTCCATATGTGCTCTTGGCACCAGGACACCCTAGGCCGCAGTTCGATGATCGACTTTGTCATCGTCTCATCTGATCTGCGGCCGCATGTCTTGGACACTCGGGTGAAGAGAGGGGCGGAGCTGTCCACTGATCACTACCTGGTGGTGAGTTGGCTCCGATGGTGGGGGAGGATGCCGGTCAGACCTGGCAGACCCAAACGTATTGTGAGGGTTTGCTGGGAACGTCTGGCAGAGTCTCCTGTGAGACGGAGTTTTAACTCCCACCTCTGGGAGAACTTCGAACATGTTCCGAGGGAGGTGGGGGACATTGAGTCAGAGTGGACCATGTTTCGTGCCTCTATTGTCGAGGCGGCTTACCAGAGCTGCGGCCGCAAGGTTGTCGTGCCTGTCGCGGCGGCAACCCTCGAACCCGATGGTGGACACCGTCGGTGAGGGATGCTGTCAGGCTGAAGAAGGAGTCCTATCAGGCCTTTTTGGCCTGTGGGACCCCGGAAGCAGCTGATGGGTACCGGCAGTCCAAGCGACATGCGGCTCGGGTGGTCGCTGAGGCAAAAACTCGGGCATGGGAGGAGTTCGGAGAGGCCATGGAGAATGACTTCCGCACAGCTTCGAGGCGATTCTGGTCCACCGTCCGGCGTCTCAGGGGGGGAAAGCGGTACACCACCAACACTGTTTATAGTGGGAGTGGTGTGCTGCTGACCTCAACTCGGGATGTTGTGGGTCGGTGGGCGGAATACTTTGAAGACCTCCTCAATCCCACCGGCACGTCTTCTACTGAGGAAGCAAAGCCTGGGGACTCTGGGTGGGACCCTCCAATCTCTGGTGCTGAGGTCACCGAGGTGGTTAAAAGGCTCCTCGGTGGCAGGGCCCCAGGGGTGGATGAGATTCGCCCGGAGTTCCTTAAGGCTCTGGATGTTGTAGGGTTGTGTTGGCTTACGCAACTCTGCAATATTGCGTGGACATCGGGGGAAGTGCCCCTGGATTGGCAGACCGGGGTGGTGGTCCCCCTATTCAAAAAGGGGGACCGTAGACTGTGTTTCAACTACAGGGGAATCACGCTCTTAAGCCTCCCCGGTAAGGTCTACTCGGGGGTTCTGGAGAGGAGGGTCCGTCGGATAGTCGAACCTCGGATTCAGGAGGAGCAGTGTGGTTTTCGTCCTGGCCGTGGAACACTGGACCAGCTCTACACTCTCAGCAGGGTCCTGGAGGGTGCGTGGGAGTTTGCCCAACCGGTCTACATGTGCTTTGTGGACTTAGAGAAGGCGTTCGACCGCGTCCCTCGGGGAACCCTGTGGGGGGTACTCTGGGAGTATGGGGTACCGGGCCCTTTGATACGGGCTGTTAGGTCCCTGTATGACTGGTGTCAGAGCCTGGTCCGCATCGCCGGCAGTAAGTCGGGCTTGTTCCCGGTGAGAGTTGGACTCCGCCAAGGTTGCCCTTTGTCACCGATTCTGTTCATAATTTTTATGGACAGAATTTTTAGGCGCAGCCATGGTGTTGAGGGGATCCGTTTTGGTGGCCTTAGGATTGCTTCTCTGCTTTTTGCAGATGATGTGGTCTTATTGGCTTCATCAGATCATGATCTACAGCTTTCGCTGGAGCGGTTCGCAGCCGAATGCTACGCGGCTGGGATGAGGATCAGTTCCTCCAAATCCGAGGCCATGGTCTTGAGCCGGAAAAGAGTAGAGTGCCCTCTCCGGGTCAGGGAGGAGGTCCTACCCCAAGTGGAGGAGTTCAAGTATCTTGGGGTCTTGTTCACGAATGAGGGAAAAATGGAGCGTGAGATCGATAGGCGGATAGGTGCAGCGTCTGCAGTGAAGTGGGCGCTGTACATGTCTGTCGTGGTTAAGAGAAAGCTGAGTCAAAAGGCAAAGCTCTCAATTTACCGATCGATCTGCGTTCCTACCCTCATCTATGGTCACGAGCTTTGGGTTGTGACCGAAAGAATGAGATCTCGGATACAAGCGGCCAAAATGAGTTTTCTCCGCAGGGTGTCTGGGCTCTCCCTTAGAGATAGGGTGAGAAGCTCGATCATCCGGGAGGGACTCAGAGTAGAGCCGCTGCTTCTCCACGTCGAGAGGAGCCAGTTGAGGTGGCTTGGGATCTGTTTAGGATGCCTTCTGGACGCCTCCCTGGTGAGGTGTTCCAGACACGTCCCACCGGAAGGAGGCCCAGAGGAAGACCCAGGACATGCTGGAGGGACTTTGTTTCTCGGCTGGCCTGGGAATGCCTCGGGATTCCCCCGGAAGAGCTGGCCCAAGTGGCTGGGGAGAGGGAAGTCTGGGCCTCCCTACTTAGGCTGCTACCCCCGCGACCCGACCCCGGATAAGCGGAAGAAAATGGATGGATGGATGGAACTAAATTACAAATCATCAAAGTTCACGCTCAATAATCCAGGTAAAAAAATCCAACATTCAGTCAGGTCATCTGGACCTTTTTTTTTTTTTGGTTGAGACACATTTCGCTCTTCATCCAAAGGACTTCATCAGTCAGGAGTCACAAACAAACTGTTTTCCCCACTAAGCAGTACACTCCCACAGTGGACCAACCAGTTTGCTGGTGATGGGATGGTTTCTGGGGGCCGTCCTCTCCCCCGTCGACTCCCCCCAGGCAACACAGCCAAAGTGGTTCAAGACATTGAAGTTCATGCTCATTGATTAAGTCCTTCAGATGAAGGGCGGAACGTCTCTCAGCAAACAAACAAACAAACAAACAAAACTGTCCAGATGACCTGACAACATTATAAAACTGCACATCAGTTTTACAGTTTGAGTCATTTCCTCATGCAACATCACACCTCCTCCCTCAGCACCCTGTCAGATGCTTTTTCTAAATCCTCAAAGACACAAAGGAGTTATTTCTTACCCTATCTGTTCTTCATCATCATCCTCAAATCAAAGATAGATCTGTGGTGCTCCATCTCAACGTGAAACCATCCTGCTGCTCACAGATAGTCACCTCTCCTCTTGCTTCCACAACTCTCTCCAGATCTTCATCGTGTGGCTCCTCTACTCAATTCCCCGTATCACTTTACCAACCACAGTGAAGGCACAAATGTCTTTCCAGGAGGCCCCATGCCAGGATCTGGTTCAGTCTTTGGGGCCTCCTGGATGTTCCCGTCTATGGCCCAAGACACGACTCCCACCTTGCACGATTCAGTCAACCTTGGTACAGGTTAGGCTCATTGAGTCATGAGGACGTTTTTCAAGAAAGACATGTTTTAGACAAAACCACAGATAAAAAAGGTACACACAACAGTAAACCCTTAAATGCATATAAAATAAAAAAGGAAATAAAAATAGTGATGTAAAACAAAATAAAATCAAGCTACATTATGAAACCAGGTAAAATACTAAAAGCAGGAAGATGCATGCATTGATTTTTGCATCAAACTGTTTGAAATCCCTTAGAGAGGTCAAAGTTGACAGCTTCAGCTGATACAAGTAGACCCCCCCCCCAGGGGTGTCAGGGTCCTGGGCAGAAGAGAACTGGCAAGAGAGCGTCTGGTTTGACATGACTTGAACCTGGGATGCAGGTGATGGAGAAGTTCAACTTTAACTTTAGAGTTACACCTTACTCAAATATTTATATATTTAA